TCAGGTGGGTCTGTCTAAGCCAGGGAGAGGAGTTAGATGGAAGACATGTCCCAGCCCTCTGCATTTCTCCTTGGCTAGATTAAGCAGCCCTTTACTCAACATGCTGCTGTTATGAATCCCTTTCTAAGGGACCTGACTCTGCCCATGTACTATATAGGGTAACCAGACATCTCACCCAGAGTTATGGATTCCAGTAGAGCAGCCAGGCACCACCATGGGGCCTAAATCCTTGTGTGCCACTTAGACCCTTTGGTAGGAAGGTATTATGTTTTCTGATTTAAACTGCCTACCTGAAATCTAAGTTTCATCTATTCACTGTTAAAAATAACATGATCTGTTTTTGCCTGATGGTATTTTAGCATTTTCAACAAAAGTCTTTATTCTTATAAAGAGACCCTCTAGCCATCAATGCCTAAGAAAATGAGTGTAGCACTCCTGCTCAAGAGTCTTTCATTTACTTTTATTGGTTTTATATCTGATTTGAATATTGCTGCCAATAAAATCTTCTGAGATTTGATCTAGTAAAATGGGAATTGTTCTAGTGATATTTCTTAGTAGGTCTCAGATCTCACTGGTTTAGAGAGAAATTCAGAGAAAGAAATGTGAACACATACCATGTAGGTAGCAATCTAATATAACCCATATCCATGGGTATGGATCCTATGGATATGGGTGAGTATGTACACACACACACACACACACACACATAGATATAGATATAGATGTGTGTGTGTGAGTACATATATGTATACATACACTCACCTATGGATATGGGTTATATTAGATTGCTACCTACATGGTATGTGTTCACATTTCTTTCTCTGTATTTCTCTGTAAAACCAATGAAATCTGAGATCTACTAAGAAATATCACTAGAATAATTCCTGTTTAGTAGATCAAATCTCAGAAGACTTTTATTGGCCATAATAGTCAAATCAGACATACACACTCACCTGTGGATATATGTGTGTGTATACACACACACACCCACCTTTAGATACAGCTACATTGCAGTCACTGTTGTGGCTGAAGTGGGATGTAGACATACTTGAGCTAGCTTTAAATTAATTCACCATAGTTTGGAATCCAGTATGGGCCGCAAAATCTGCCCAAATATTTACTTTGATATGGTGGCAGGGTTTTCAGCCATGATGCAGCAGCTAGACTTGAAGACAGCCATGGAAACATGTTTTTTCCCCCCTATCTAAAAGCATGATACCATAACCGCTTCAAAGTTAACACTGGACAGTAAATTCCACTACATGAAGAAATTAAATGGGGGGGGTTCAACCCTTCCATCCTCCCAGTTTATATTGGCAAGATTTATAATCTTTGCCTTAGAGATGGCTGATTGGAAGTATACATGAACTAAATTAATAGATGATCCTCTGAGGTCCCTGCCCTACTTTTCAATGATTCCATGAAGATACCTTATAAAATTGCTCCTGCTTGTTTTATTCTACCAAGCAGCAGCATCATTTTGGGGTTTTTTTATTTGTGTGCTCAGAATAATCCAGGAATATACAAGTTTTACCATATGCAGAGTATGGAGAACAAAGCTAAAAGGGGATGTTTTTCATAAATCAGTTGATATCATATGTCTTGGTCAGTGCACTTCTAGGAAGGTAGGGGAAGGATAA